CCCTTTTTATATTCAAGCCCACATAATTGGGAATTGTTATGCCAAAGACACTGCCATGTAAAAAGCCTTGGCCCAGGTTAGTTACCTTAACACTTGGCCAACACAAAGGCAGATGCTAACTTGGCCTGGCTCACGTGCCAAGACGCATAAAATGTAAACAAATTAATAAATTTATAGACAACGACTTTTTAATGCCCGTTTAATGGCATTCTTTGACACTTTTTGCTCGAATTCACCTGTTTGTCGGATATTATCTGTTTTTATGTTCCTCAAAGCCTTGCCAAAATCATAAATCTATAGCTTGTTTTGCTCAAAATCCAGACAGAATATAATTTTTTTCGGTTGCCGCGTCAATGGGAAATTTTGATGAAGATATATCGAAACTTTGGACCCCATAGCACTATAGAAGCCATAGAAAAATGGATTTGAACCAAAATTCCCATAAGCTAACTGTCTCGATTAGTGTGTGCTCACACGATTATAAAATATACAAATCAGAAAAGGTAAAGAAAAGTTAATAATCGCCATTGTTTATATTGGCGGAGCATATATGCGTCTATTGCGATAAACAATCGACTTTTTAATGTCTTGAAAAGCACTGGAACAGCAATCCCTGTTCGACGAAAGTCTTCTACGGGGTCACATTAAGAAACCATTATGAGGCGACACAGACACAGAAACAGAACACGAAAAGCTAATTTACCACCGGAATCTGCATATATCTCGGCATTCAGCAGCATTCACATCCCATTTATGGATGGCAGTGTGTTTTTCCACATTAACGATGTGTTTTTGGACTACAATGTTATAGAAGGCGACAGAGAAGAGATTTTATGACTGCCTACTGAAAGAAAATAGGATGCAATGTTGTGGAACAACTTTATGAGGCTCTCGTCTCGATATTCGCTTTGAGATTTATTTTCGTCTGGCTTTTCAGCACTTGTCTGGCTTTAATAGGCCAGAGAGGGTTCTACTCAATTTGGGCAAGTTTGTAAAATGAGTAATTATTAGAACTTTGTCTACAAAGGGGCTGTAAAAACCAGGAAACAAATTCTTGACTTATGGTCCCGAGTTTACGGGCCTTTAAGCGCTAAGAATAATATATGGCCGATCCAACTTTTTCATGTGATATTTAAAATAAATATTTCACTTTCACAAATAGCCCGAATTTCATTAAATGGCATTTGGTTAGCCTAAATACTTGGTGGGAGATTTCGTAATTAACAAATACGATCGGCTAATTTCCATATTATGCGACCCTCGCGCAACGTATTACCAATATTGTTATTAAAATTATTTATAGCCCGAGAAGCAGCCCCAGAAACGAGAGGGCCACAATTAATATTTGCTCGTCATAAACGGAATAAAAACAAATTTGTGTATATAGCTCGGGCAGCTTTAGTACCTGCCAGGCGGAGAACGAAAGTTGTTGGCACCATTGAAAAGCAATTAAGTAAATATTTATACAAATGCGAGCAGGTTTAGTCGATTCCTCTGATTCGTGTCGATCATTAGATTGTGATGGCGAGGGATTGGGTTTTCTTCGGGTTCATTGTCGGGGTAATGCTTCACTTACCTTCAGTTGTTGGCGTAGTCCGCTCATGGGGCTCATTCAAAGATCTGATAACCAAAAAGGTGTTTTAAACGAGCAAGTGCTGGGTGCCGGTGGCGTATGAGTAATTTTTTTGAAAAAAGCAAAAAATCAAACTCTTGGCTCGGTTGGCCTAGTTTCTATATATGTTTAGTTTTTATCGCCGTATTTACTAGCACTTAAATGTGTATTAACTTGTACTTTTCAGCCTTAGATGCTCTTTTTTCCACAAATATGAATTTGCGTTCTTTGTTTAATTTTATTGTCTGTATGGATGAGTGTTAACTCTTGTCTAGAGGATTATTGATGATTTGTCACCGTGTTCTTTTGTGTATAATTTCTGAATATATTTCTGTTTGAAAAGCGCGCGCGACTCTGTCGACGATCGTCTCGCCTCGGAATCCCAAACAATATTGAGCATTCGACGCTGCCTCGATGCCCACGAAACGCTGCCAAAAAAATAAAAAAAAAAAAAAAGCGAAAACCGAAATGAACATGTTGTCGAAGTTCGAGAAAGAGCAAAGGCGAGAGGTATTCTCTCTCGGAGCTATATGTTTTTGAACACATATTTTGAAATCTCGCCTCGTTCTGGGATTGCCATTTTGTTAATTTTAATTTTTTGATTTATCTGCGCCGATTTCACAGAGATCTCTCTCCCTCCTCTCTCGTTGTCAACAAGCAGTGCCGGCAAAAATCGAAAATACATATCCGATCTTGTGACGAGGCGGTTTTCTTGTTGGCTATATGTACTCGTATCTAAAGAAAGAACTGTGCCATCAGAAGAAGTCATGGGACAAGCACTTGGCCAAACACGTTTCCCCATATTTGTTTATCAATGCGCCCCAGTGATCAGCGCCATTTGGCGCTAAAGTCCCGAACATGCCACATTAAGCCCACATTATTATGGCTAAGATCCGCCCTCCGTTATATAAACGATTCTTTTCGGCCAGAATGTTTTATATTTAGTTCGGCGCACGGACTCGAGTCATTCAACCCGGTGGCACTTGCCGAAAGGCCTATGCAGTTGCAAGTGCCGTCGTGTGTCCACGTTGCGTATGAGTTATTTTTAACAATTACCAAAAACAAAAAGCAACACACAAAAGTTGGCAGGCGGCGACAGAGCAGAAATCGAAGGAATCTTTGATAATTTTAATTAGGCAGCTGTCGTGGAGCGTTCACTCGCCTTGCAGCAGCAGGTAAGGTGTCTAAAAATGACACATTGCTCATACGCCGGGGGGTCGCCTCGATTCTTTGTTGTTTTAGCTTATTTTTAAGGAAGTTCATTCTCCAGCTAAGTAAATATGTGCACATTAAATATGAAGCCACATTTTTAAAGGCAAACACATCAATTCAAAACTGAACTTCAGCTTAATTGGTAGAAAGTGTCATTAAAAATTACACAACTACCTCAGGTCAGTCACTTATAATTACCATTATCAGTGAGAGGCTTTTCCCTAGACGTTGTAGAAATTGAAGATTCAGATTTTATGTGTTTCAAGCAGAAGAAACCAGACTGGGATTGAGATTGTTTATGGAATCATTATCAGTTCATAAACGTAGCGGACAGACAGCCAACTTTTATGAGTTATTCATTGAATGCAAATTGTTCCCAAATAAAAAAAAAATTGGAAAAACTGCCAAAACCAAAACCTTTGACCAAAATCTGTGCCAAAAGAGCAAGGAAATTATTATGGCTAAGAAATCGGCGTCCCTGGCTCTTTATAGATTTCCAATGTAAATATTTACAATGTTTATTTTTAAACCATATAGGTATATATAATATACATGTTTGTACATCGTGCTTGGTGTATTTCATGTTATGATCGTGCTAGATAAATATTATGAAACTTTGGTGCTGTAGTGTACAATTGCCATTTAATCGGCCAGATCCCGTGATTTACGCCGGATCGGGGAACGTTAGCTTATTAACTGGAAGCGTTCGATCTAAACTGGGTGTTAATGACTCTGGGAACTGAACTCTGACGCTGATATTTTAGCAACTTTAGTTAGTTATCGGCAAACAGGAATGTCGCACTGGGCGGGCTGGGGGCTTAATGACAGTGCTGTGATATCATCGTTGGGTACACAACAGACCCCGAGTACTGTCAGGCGGCCAAACGAAGCGTGAAAAGCATCCAAGGTCGAAAGCCAAACAAATGGAACTCTAAACAGTGTAACAGTGCCATGTAACGGAAGCCAGTGCACTTACGGCAAGCGGGTTTGAACTGTTATCCTCTTGGTCCGAAATCTTGGCCAACACACACGAACACTACTTTTGGTCAACCCAATCGCCCAGCACTCGCCCGCAGAAAGAGTTGCTTGGACACGCGACCTCTTGACTCTTTTTTTAGAACGACTGCCGCTGCCGCCGACACTTTTTGAACTGTGCAGCGGTCTCTGGCTGTTGCTCGGTTTATTCGGCGGCCCACTGATCACTCAGCCGCACACATAAATGTCCACTAACGAGACGCGGCCCAGCCCCAAAAACATCATTATTTGTGCACAGGAAGAAATCACCAAATCAGAACCCAATCATTAAATCCCTGTCGCCACAAATTACGTGTCAGATTAATGGATGTAAGAGTGAATCAATTTGTCATTCGCAAATCGAAATTTTAGGTTTTTGGCCACTAAATTAAAATGACAGGTTCTAAATTGTCGAATTTCAATAATAAATATGCCGATGAATAAAGTATTAATAGCTCTACTGATCAGATCATTTACAAATAACTTTTTTGAAGTATTTTGGCTTTTATCATCCATTGTCTTTAATGAGAATCAACACACAATACTTTTTTAGGATCAACACAATCATAAAATAATAAATAAAACCGCATAAACAATTTTGAAACAATAACGAATTATTTCCCTGTGTATGTCAAGCAAATTTGCTTTGTGGGTGCTGCCAACAGATCCACAATGATTTTTTGTTGGGCTTCCTATGGTGGCGCTGTTAATGGGCATGCGTGGAAATTCTGGGATCGACAATACCCTGGAATGTGTTTTATTTGGGCAATCACACGTGGAACTTTAATTACCCAATAGTTAGTCCCGCAAAACATTTTGCCGTCATTTTCTTCCGAAAGACGTAGGAGAATTTCGAAAAACAATGTTTTTTATGTATTCCACCCGAACATTTTCAATCGAAATGTGATTTATTTATAATGGTGCGAATTTAAATTTAAATTTGTTAAAAATAGCCACAATTGACTAGGAAAAATACGCGGAATGGTCGATTTATGATGGGATTCCTTCAGAGCGTTGCGAACCATTAAGGCCAATTTGTAAATGGCAAGTAATTCGGCTCACAAATAAACAGCCACCGAATTGCGGCTAAATCCGACCAAGAAAATCAATTGGATTAAATAAAGTACGCACGACCGTGATTACAAGGCCGATGAGACAGCAGTTTAGTAGTTTAAGGCAATTACATTGAGTTTATTGTTCGATTAGCTTAAAATTCGTACGGACTACGTGGCTCGCCTGTGCCTACATTACAAAGAGTCAAATTGGAAGTTTAAGATCGACTACATATCATTGTGCGCTATGCTCGTTACTCTCTAGTCTCACTATGTACTACATATCACAAATTCGGATATTATCTGTATTTAGATGCTAGTAAAAACCTACATGCTACTTGTCAGAGAAGAATCAAGTGGACGGGAAGCTTAGTTCCCCTAAAAAAGGTACTCGAATAGTTGTATTTTGAGTGTGTAAAATTGTGTATCGTAGTGTGGAAGTTTTTGGTTTCTAGCTGATTCAATTCTAAAGCTAATCCTAAAGCACTTGAAGCCTTAAAAGCATTTGCATTTACCATTTGATGATGTTGCAGATATCACAAAAAGTTCCTAACTAATCTAGACCTGCATATAGCGATAGCTGGCCGCGGAGCTGCGGTAGTTTCCCTCGCTCAGCTTAATGTATTGACCCAGGAAGTTCAAAACAACAGCACTCCGGCACAGGTTGTGCAGGTAGCCCAGCAAGTGGGGCGTCAGGATTGTGGTTAGTATATAGGCAAGCTGAGGCACTCGATCCGTGTGTCCCATCGGGCATATCCAGTACCCCCGCCGTACAGCATCCCTGGTGTGGTGAGTGATGAAGGCACAGAGTAGCGACCCCAGCATTAAGCTGGTCCGGAAGTAGTTCAAACAGGCGGTGCATATGTAGAACAGCAATATTATCAGTATAATAGTGGAGCAGTGCATAAAGGGTCTTCTTGATAAATTGGTCGCATCCTTGGAAAGAAAAATGCACGTTCAATATAGAGTGTCCGTTGGTAGTTAACCCACTTACTTCCAAGTACAACGAACGTGCCTCCACAAAGTGGTCCAGGTCAATGAACGATGACACAACGAAACAGGTGAAAATCAATATCCAGCCGAAAAGTTGCGAGGCTAAAGAAATCAATTCACAGCAATTATTTGTGGGCAGGGAAAAAAGAATATAAGCTTGTGAAATAAAAAGAAATTAGAATTATGTATAAAGACGTAATACAACACGCGAAGATTTATGAAAAATTAAAGCAACAAACTAATCAAAAATTCTCTGCAGACATTTTAGATAAGATAATGTTCTCATTATTGCCAGCGTACACATTTCATAAAAAAGTGAAATATAAGAAATAAATAAATAGATAACTAAATACACAAGAACTACTAACTCCTCTCGTAGAACTGCATGGCAAATGCAATCCCCGTGAGGGCTCCTATGGCCGCATGGGTGGCATTATCCGCCAGAGCCTTGAGGAGCGGATGTTGGGTGAGCTCCACAAAGTTGTCCCCCAAAAGACACGTTATGGTCGTCAAGGTCGTCAATACAATCCGCATGTAAACCATTGTGTGGCAGTGGGGCATCGATTTCTGGCACTCGACTTTTCCGGCTTGATCGGCTGCTGTGGATTCTCCACGTCTTGGACGGACTTCCAGGGATTTCTTTGGATGGCGTACTACTCCAGTATTTGCTCCTCAGGGTAATCTCCTTGGCCACGTACTGATAGCATTTTGTTTATTCCCAATTTGTTGTGAAATCCCGGCGAGGATAATTGACTTTGGTTTACATTTGTAATGCATTTAGTGTGACCGTGGTAGCCAAAAACGCCGAAACCACTGTTTAAAAAATACCAGCACTACTATTTAATTCAAATTTTTAAATATTGCTTAATGTATAAATTAAGTTTGTGATTTAAAAATCGTTTTCAAATAAAATGTATTTTAAGAGAGAGAATGTGTAATTTTTGGTTTATGAATTTGAATTTGTTAATTCATTCGTTTGAATGGATTCCCCATAGTTTTTTTTTGGGCGCCAAGTTTGTTTTTCAGTTCATTATCTAGATTCCTAATTTTGTTGTATAAAAGCTAGCAGGTTGTTTTATTTGCATAATCTTTTGTGCATAACAATTGAATAATTGAAATCAAACAGCTGTGGGAGGAACTGCATCGGTATAAGTGCTTAAGTGGAATTTTCCATGCCAATTTTTGGTTCTAGTTGAACTAAACTAGATGAGCGAAAAAAGCTCGCTCTGTTTGTGTTCTTCCTCTCTTACAAAAACAATATCTAAGATCGTTTATGTTTTAAAAAAACACATATTTATTCTATGGAAAAAAACTAAAAACGAGAACACGTTTTCCTAATTAAAATATTTTAACAGAAGGGTACGATAACATTGAAGGGATAGTTCTTGCTTTTGATGGCCTGTTTGGCAAGGATAAGACGATCTCCGGTGTTGTAGGTCTGCAGGACAGCATGGTCCAGCTCGTCCAGTTTGAAATCAAAGATGTTAAAGTTATCCTGGATACGCTGGGGATTGGATGACTTGGGCAGAGGCACAACTCCAAGCTCAAACTACAAAAGGAAAATAAGTTTCAAGAACTCTTTCATAAAAATCATCTCCTACCAGATATCGCAGCACCACTTGGGCAGTGGACTTTCTGTATTTATCAGCTATGGCCTCCACCTTGGCATCATAGATATAATTGGGGGTCCTTGTGGCAGGATTGCCTCTGCGCAGTGGACAATAGCCAGTCACCACAATATCATTCTTCTTGCAGAGTTCGATGAGCTGCGTTTGTATGAAAGCGGGATTGCACTCGATCTGGAAAATAATTTGTATTTATTAAAGATTCTTCAGTTAATATATAAAAGCAATTACCTGATTTTGAACTGGCTTGATTTTGCAGTTGGCCAAAAGGCGACTCAATTGATCGGAATTGAAATTGGATACCCCAATGCTTTTGGTTAGACCCAACTCCACCAATTTTTCCATGGCGCGCCAGGTGTCTAGGATATCCACATCACTGAGGAAGGATAAAGATGATAATAGTTTTGGTACAAAATATATTAAAATGTACCCAATACACACCTAAGTTCCACTTCACCATTCTCATCGGTGGGAGTCATAACATTGTCGCCGCGGTAAACATAAGAAAACGGCCAGTGAATCAAGTATAGATCCACATACTCCAGACCGAAGTTCTCGAGGGTCTTACGACAGGCGTGCTCCACTCTTTCCGGTTCATGAAAGTGATTCCATAGCTAACGAAAACATTTGATAAAAACAAGGTAAACACCTGACATGGGAAAACACTTACCTTGGATGTGATGAAAATATCTTCCCGCTTGATGACACCTTCCTTGATCTTCTGGCGCACCGCTGCTCCCACTTCGCTCTCATTTCCATAAAAATAGGCGCAATCTATGTGCCGGTAGCCCACATCTATGGCGTGGAGAACTGCCCTCTCACAATCGCCCCCTAATGACTATAAGGGTGAATCGAAGGTTATCGGGGGGATCCTCTACAGCTGATAAGATACCAATATCAGAGATTCGATCTCCACTTACCGAGTAGGTTCCGAGACCTATGGCTTGGATCTGCGTTCCATCGTGGTGCTTCAGATAGGGAATATTATTGGTGGACATGTTCCTGGTTCGGTAGTTGCTCGCTAACTGAGCAATTGCGTTTATGGCTTATAACTAAATACTCACTACACTATTATTTCGAGCAATTGCACGTGAAGTATTTCTATCTGTGCGATCTTTGAGTGCCTCCACCATGAAACAGCAAAATTGATTAACGGTTTTTTTCACCATAAATGACGTTAACATGACATGGCTTTGACGTTAACGTGGCTGTTTGACGTTAAAGAATATTAATCTTTATTACATGTTTATTTATGGGGTTAATATGTCTTCAAAAAAGGAAAAGAAAGTAGTTAACAGCATTCCTTTAACAATTTTGTTATGTATCTGTATGAGATTATATCCTATAAAAAATGAAAGCTATTTTTCCCGAGTCGCTATAGTGTAGACAGAGTATATAGTGCATGTGGAGTCGACTGTACAGTAAATCCCTTTACAAGCTCGTAGATCCTTTTTGAAGTTTTGTAATTAACCGAAAATTCTAATGCATTTCTTAATGTTTCAAAAATGAAAAGAAAGTAGCTAACAGCTTTCCTTTGACAATTTCGTTATATATCTAAAAAGAAAAGTATTTTTTCCAAATCGCTATAGTACACTAAAAAATCCCTTTTCAAACTCGTTGATCATTTTTTATTTTTTTTAAATTATCGAAAATCTTAATGCATTTCTTTATGTTTCTGTAAAGACATGCCTAGGGAATTTCGAACACCTTTTAATATCCTTCTACTCGCCGGTAGACAAGAATTAATATGTAGTATGTAATCTTGAAGTGATAAAGCCTGAAGTGATTTATAAAATAAAATAATCAATGATCAATGTTCGAATTGACTAATTTAAACCCGTAAACATTTTTCCAATTCTAATAGAGATTTAGAGATAGACATTTCTAATAAATCGAATAAAATGACAAAATTTGTTGTATATATTTTATTTTTTATTCTTCAAAAAACATTTATAAGTCATAAAGAATTATTTGAAATATCAAATATAATATAATATTGCTCTTTTTCCATTTCAGAACTCAATGCTGAAGGGATAGTTTTTGTTTTTGATGGCATGGACCATGGGAATCAGACGTTCGCCAGTGTTGTAGGAATCCAAGATGGCATGATCCTCGGCATCCAACTTGAAATCAAAGATTTTGAAGTTCTCCTCAATGCGCTTGGGATTGGAAGACTTGGGCAGTGGGATAGTTCCGATTTCAATCTTCAAGGAAAAATAAAAAACGCAAGTTTAAGAGCTGATTTTTGGAGAAACTAGAAGATTCTTACCAAATAGCGGAGCACCACTTGAGCCGTGGACTTCTTGTACTTGTCTCCTATAGCCTGAACCTTGGCATCGTAAATATAATTGGGAGTCTTTTCCGCAGGGTTGGGCCTGCCCAGCGGACAGTAAGCGGTCACCACAATGTCATTCTTTTTGCAGAGAGCAATCAGTTTCTTCTGGTTCAGAGCGGGATGACATTCGATCTGGAAAAGTGTTTATTATTGAAGGTCTCTTTACAAATAAACCGCAATCTACGTGCCTGGTTGTGGATGGGCTTGATTTTGCAGTTGGCCAGAAGGCGAGTCAGTTGCTCGGAATTGAAATTGGAAACGCCAATGCTCTTAGTAAGCCCCAGCTCCACCAGCTTTTCCATGGCACGCCAGGTGTCCAGGTAATCAACGTCGCTAATAGTTAAAACAACGTTAATAGAATTGTGAGCTATAACTTTAGAAAAACTCACCTCATTTCCACTTCTCCTTTGGCATCAGTGGGCATCATTTCATTGTCACCCCGGTAGACATAGGAGTAGGGCCAGTGCATCAGGTAAAGATCTACATAATCCAGACCAAAATTCTGAAGAGTCTTACGACAGGCGTACTCCACCCTTTCCGGTTCATGGAAGTGGCTCCAAAGCTGCAAAATAGTTCATTATTATACGAGTTTTCTGCCTGGTTTCGTGGATAGCCAACCTTGGTGGTGATGTGTATATCCTCCCTCTTGATGACGCCCTCCTTAATCTTCTGCTGCACCGCTGCACCCACCTCGCCCTCGTTCTCGTAGAAATAGGCGGTGTCTATGTGCCGGTAGCCCACATCGATTGCATGGAGAGTGGCTTTCTCGCAGTCCCCGCCCAATGACTTTGAAAGGGAAAACAAAAAAACAGTTTAAAGTTTATTTAATATTCTCTTTTTCTCAGCTGATAAGCCGGCGATTATTTCACCGATTGATATCAGAAACGTGATCTCTAAAGAGTCTACTCACAGTATAGGTTCCCAGTCCGATGGCTTGGATCTGGGTGCCGTTGTTGTGCTTCACGTACGGAATTTTGCTGCCGGACATCTTTGCGGTTCAACAGGTTCTGACTGACTCGCCAGCTGCTCTTCAAAATAAATAAATAAAATTTTCGATCAGAGCTAGTGGCCGGCTCTCAGCAAAGTGAGAGTACCTCAATGTCTAAAAAGCTTTTAGAACCTAATCAAAGTACAACATTATTACTAAAAGCTCAAAGCTATAGATGACAACGCTTTTTTGAATTCTTCCTTCTAAATTTTCAATTTTAATTCTGCAAAAATTTTAATTCTTCGATCGGCCAATTTTTATCCAATACTCGAGCGGAATACCTTCAAAGTTTTCCAAATGGATTCTCTATTAATCTGCATTTAAATCTCACAACAAAATTTTCGATCGATATTTTTCGAATTTTTATGCGGAAGCCCCTTGTAAAAACAGGATATTCATATATGGTCCAAAGCCATGTCTGTATCTTGGCCAATTTGTATCCGATTCTCAAGTGGAATACCTCAAACGTTTTGTGAATGAATTCTCTATTAATCTGCATTTAAATCTCACAACGAAATTTTCGATCGATATTTTTCGAATTTTTGTGGGGAAGCCCCTTGAAAATGCAGGATATTCATATATGGTCCAAAGCCATGTCTGTATCTTGGCCAATTTCTATCCGATTCTCAAGTGGAATACCTCAAACGTTTTGTGAGTGAATTCTCTATTAATCTGCATTTAAATCTCACAACAAAATTTTCGATCGATATTTTTCGAATTTTTATGGTGAAGCCCCTTGTAAAAACAGGATAATCATATATGGTCCAAAGCCATGTCTGTATCTTGGCCAATTTTTATCCGATTCTCAAGTGGAATACCTCAAACGTTTTGTGAATGAATTCTCTATTAATCTGCATTTAAATCTCACAACAACATTTTCGATCGATATTTTTCGAATTTTTATGGGGAAGCCCCTTGTAAAAACAGGATATTCATATATGGTCCAAAGCCATGTCTGTATCTTGGCCAATTTCTATCCGATTCTCAAGTGGAATACCTCAAACGTTTTGTGAGTGAATTCTCTATTAATCTGCATTTAAATCTCACAACAAAATTTTCGATCGATATTTTTCGAATTTTTATGGTGAAGCCCCTTGTAAAAACAGGATAATCATATATGGTCCAAAGCCATGTCTGTATCTTGGCCAATTTTTATCCGATTCTCAAGTGGAATACCTCAAACGTTTTGTGAATGAATTCTCTATTAATCTGCATTTAAATCTCACAACAACATTTTCGATCGATATTTTTCGAATTTTTATGGGGAAGTCCCTTGTAAAAACAGGATATTCATATATGGTCCAAAGCCATGTCTGTATCTTGGCCAATTTTTATCCGATTCTCAAGTGGAATACCTCAAGCATTTTGTGAATGAATTCTCTATTAATCTGCATTTAAATCTCACAACAACATTTTCGATCGATATTTTTCGAATTTTTATGGGGAAGCCCCTTGTAAAAACAGGATATTCATATATGGTCCAAGGCCATGTCTGTATCTTGGCCAATTTTTATCCGATTCTCAAGTGGAATACCTCAAACGTTTTGTGAATAAATTCTCTATTAATCTGCATTTAAATCTCACAACAAAATTTTCGATCGATATTTTTCGAATTTTTATGGGGAGTCCCTTGTAAAAACAGGATATTCATATATGGTCCAAAGCCATGTCTGTATCTTGGCCAATTTTTATCCGATTCTCAAGTGGAATACCTCAAACGTTTTGTGAATGAATTTTCTATTAATCTGCATTTAAATCTCACAACAAAATTTTCGATCGATATTTTTCGAATTTTTGTGGGGAAGCCCCTTGTGAAAACAGGATATTCATATATGGTCCAAAGCCATGTCTGTATCTTGGCCAATTTTTATCCGATTTTCAAGTGGAATACCTCAAACGTTTTGTGAATGGATTCTCTATCAATCTGCATTTAAATCTCACAACAAAATTTTCGATCGATATTTTTCGAATTTTTATAGGGAAGCCCCTTGTAAAAACCCAGAGGTCCCAAAGTCATCTTGGCCAGTTTTAATCTTATAGTCTTTTGAAAAATACTAATTTTTCCGGTAAATGTCATACCCGTATTTCTAATAAAAGCTCACCCTGGGGCCGTTTTTGTGTGGCGCATGTCTGGAGCTTTCTCCGCGGAGGAAACACTTGGAATGTGGCACAACATCTGTTATTCAAAGAGGCACAATGTATCAGACCTTGCCACCGTCGCAGGCTGAAAATGAAACTTAACTGAAGGAATTTTTGAAAACGGCTGGTGAGTTGCCACCAAAGTTGCTATAGTCTGCGCTGATAATAAGAAAATATTCAGTGAATGTGATGAAAAATTAATAAAAACCTAAAGAGTTTAGTTTAAAATTACCTTAAACAAGGATTAATCGCAAAGTGCGTGTGCTGGAATCTATTAATATCGAAAAAAGAGGTAACAAAGCCAAGTCACGAAACGTGGGCTGGCTAAATTCAATATACCATAACTTTTGTTAACCAAGTGCATGTTAAAGTCCCATTTGTTGGTCTGGTTTAGTTTTTGTGAGGGGCTTTTCTTGGAGGTGTAGGAGATGCAAGCCATGGTTAGCTGAAAATTATTGTATTGTAATTTCAGTATACGCAGCACGCCTTTAACTGCGCATGCCCCGGCCCCTTGGCCAGAAACCGAGCAGTACCAGTGTCAGTTGCCGCAGTCTGGAGCTCCGACTCACCCCCTCCCGAACGACAGTGCCACCGGAATAGCTGCGCCACCCCCCGCCAATCGAGGCCAACAGAAAAAGGAGGAACAGCAGCAACAGCAGGTGACACCTGGGCCACCTCAAGGCTGTTCCTTTCGGACAGTTTCGGAATGGCGGCCGTCGTCCACGGTTGCAGCAGTCCCCGCCAGCGTTCCTGCAACGGCAGCAGCTCCCCGGGCGGTCATCATGGCTCCACGCCCTCCTCCGCCTACCCCACCATGCCGAAATACTCCAGGACAGCCAGTCAAACGCTGTACGCCACCAGCCAACAGCTTTTCGGTGGTGGCCTGGCGGACAATTACGGCAATGGACCGCTCTACATGTCCTCTGGCTCCGGGCAGCGTCCCCTCTCCGCCTCGGCTCTGCCGGAGACGGCGGCGGCCAGCCGAAATTACTGGGGCCATCATAATGCCTTTTACCACACCGGAGGCAGGCACTACAATAAGCGCAAGTCCGCCGTAGAGCTCCTGGCGGAGTCCAAGCCCTTCTACATCAAGTCCGAGGCGGTTTTCGAGAGACTCCAGCAGTCTGGCTACCGGAATGGCTCCGGAAACAATGGAGGCAGCGGCAAGAGGGGTCGCCGGCCGGAGGAGTCTCATGGAGGTCATCACTATGGGATGCAGCAGTACGACGACCTGGAGGAGCGTCGCTACATGAGTCTGAATATTAGCAGGCAGCAACAACAGCAGCAGGTAATTAAAACATAACAAAAAATTATAAAAAATCTAAAAGGGATTAAAAAGGGGTGTAACAATTAATTAATCTCTTATAATCTTTCTTTGCAAGCAGCAGCAGCAGTACCTGCACAATCACCACCCCCATCCCCACCCACACCAGCACCACCCGCACCGTCACTCCGCCCAGGGCCAAGGTCAAGGCCGGGCGGGGGGTGGTAGTGGAGCTGCCGTGAACAACAATCTGCTGCAACACAAGCTGCGCATGCTGCTTGGCTCGGAGGCGAGCAAGGAGCGAAATGGAGGCGGCACCTTGAGGCGCCACGAGTTGAGTGACGGCAGTGCCGAGCTCCTGCCCACCGACTACGGTGAGGACGATGCTGGCCAGGCGGGTGCCTTGAGGATACCACCACCACTTTATATGCCGGCTCACGGATTCGGCCGCGATGGAGAGGAGCCACTGGTGCTCACGGAAAACTATCGACCAATCAGCCCGCCGGCGGAATACGCGGCCAAGTCGGGACAAGCGCACAATGATCGTTACAGGTTGGTTTAACGACACTTATTTAAGAGTATGTATAACTCCTGTGAAAACTTTCCAGATACAACTATCAGCGCTCCTATTCGCACTCTCACGAAGTGGCCAATGCTGGTGAGGAACGGGCTCCGTATCCTTCCGGGGATTTCAACATCAACAGCCACAAGTCGCTGCCGGATCTGCACACCCAGATCAGCCGTCATTCACCGCACAGCGAGATCCTGAGCTGCTGCAGTCGAGGCAACCGCTCCATCAAGTCCGCCGGAGAGTCATCCATCAACCGGGACTCCGGTGGAAGCTCCGGGCACTATACCCATCGCAGTGAACCCTGCTACAAGCGGGAGAGGCAGAGGGATGCAGCCCCCCCGGCTAGTGGCACCATCAAGAACTGTTGCACCCTGGTTGCGGCCACGCGAAGGGATAGTGGCTCCTCCACCCAGCACAGTGCCAATTCCTATTGCGGCTATGTCACGCCGGCGGGCGAGTACTCGGGCATGAGTAGTGGACGTAACCCGGAGTGCCTTGACTGCCGTTGCAAGCAGGATACTATGGGATCGGATTACCTATTGAATTTTACGCCCACGCCGGAAGTGCCGGAGGCCTTCCAGGACGACTACACCCCGACACCGCCTTCGCCGCGCTTGAAGACGCAGACGCCACGCTACTCGAGCTCCTCTAGCCAGCAGCTCCATACCAGTTCCCAGGGCTACACGAGCATCAATCACTCGCAGAGCTCCCTGGTCCAGAGCCCGGGATCGGCGCCCTCGGTTGACGACATTAGTCCACCGCCAATTCAGTTTAAACGACAGAGGTGCATCCGTTTCAAGAACAGGAATCGACTGCCCGTTCAAGGAGGTAAGCTGCCAATAAAATCCTTACCTGCAGAACTAGAACATAAACGAAAACCTTTTTAGAAATTGGAGGATCATCTGGTGTCTCCGGAGGAATCAGCGGATCTGGTGGCGGCCTGGCCCCAGGAGTCGGAGTCCTGGCCGCCTACAAACAGCACCGCGGCAGTGTGGAGCACGAGAACGTTTTCTTCCCCAAAGGTTTCACCACGGAGGGCTACCACAACAGCCTGGACATGGAAAGGGAGGCACTGAATGCCAGCATCTCGGAGCTGGAGAAGTTCTTCGACCGCCTGGGTCTCAACGACGAGGCCTTCCACGAGATCTACAGTCAGCCGAGGCGGCACCACTCGGAGACGGACAACGGGTCGGATGATTCCAGCACCGTATTCTTCTCGGACGTGAGTACGGTGGACTCCATGAGGCTACCGGATAGCACGGAAACCCAGCCACAGACCACACAGGCCTACCGGCCCTCGGAGCCGCCGTCTATTGTGGAGCGGAATGCAAGGATCATCAAGTGGCTGTGCAATTGCAAAAAGATGCAGTGCACCTGAGGACCACAGGAGCAGTGCAGCTGCGGATTTGGCCGATGAGGCATTTGCGGAAACGGAAGCCCCGGGAGACGAATGGATTTGGGGAGCATGACGAATCCCTTGGGCATTAGAAAATGTATCTTGGTGTTATATGCCTAATATCAAACTGAATCTTTTTACCTGAACAATATATATTAAACTTAAATTTCTAAATCTTGCCCAAGGATTTGATATGCAATCCAGCATAATCCGTGAGCTCCAATCCAAACTAAAACACACTGCTCAATATGTCAAGTTAAGTCAGTTTAAAGTTTAAACTTTAAAGCAAGTTTCGATTTAGAAAGATTAGCCTCACCTCTCACCTACCTGTACAATGGAACTAGGAATTATAGGTCCAGAATCCTGGACTCTGATCCTTCTTAGCTGCGATCGCTCCGGCGCAGTTCAATTAAACCATTATTGATATTTGTATTTGCTAAAGGTAATGAAGTTGTCTTACGTATACTATGTATTAACCAAATAGCAAAGGCCATCGTTCGTAAATTAATCTTATACACAAGCGGTATTATTAGATGAATTATTGTACAATTAGCTCTCGTAACTTATATAAATATATATATAAACTCGTATGACTAGTTGCCAAAAAATTCAAATACAAATGTGAATTACACGAACTCACTGAAACCACAAATTGAAATTGAAATGAACCTACCTATTTATGTAATTGTACATGGTTTGCATGACGAATAATAAAATATTTACGATTATCAAATTAATTGAAATTCATATGTCCTGAAGTTTTATTATTTGGGGCACTATTTGGTACTCATAGGTCTTTTTTAACCAAAACTGAATAATACATACAGGTTTTAGTTTTTGAATATGGCGGGCAGTGTAGCAGAGCTGCCAGACTATACTTTTTTTATAACCGGTTCGGCACTGCCACTTCTATGTGGCTTCTATTTTAAATTTAATTTAATAAAATGTTATTTTCAATTTGTATACTTTAAAATTTTATTGTGCTAACATTATATATTATATTACAGATTATAATTGTTTTTTTTTAAACAAAAAAAAAAAAAAAATGGCCCGAAAAGAAGCATACTTTTTGGAGCAACGCTTTGTGGCTTTACAATTTATCTTTTGTTATTTTTGAACTGACTTTAATTTACAAAATTAAGCCATTAATTGTTTCTTAACACAAAAAAAGTCGGTCATTTAATATTCTGATATTTAGTCACCTAGTTATTAAAACACCTGCGCGGAACAGATGAATATATAAGCTTCTAGCTGTAGTGCATCCAAATCAGTGGAGGATTAGCATCTGTCCTTAGCCGATATGAAGTTATTGCTATCCCTAGCTGGGCTGGGATTAATATCCCTGGCCTTGGGTCATGGAGTAAGCCAAATTCTTTGCAGAAGTGTAGTGCATATTTTAACTGATCAATCGTTTTTTAGAATCCTTGGGAGCAACAGCCTACGCCCCCTGTGAAAAAGGTTCCCGTTCCTATACCCGTGCCAGTGCCTGTTCCTGTACCAATCCCGGTTCCGGTTAAACCACAAAGCGGTGGTGGAGGAGGAGGAGGTGGCGGCAGCACTGATGGTGGCGGAGGAGGGGGAGGCGGCAGCGGTGGGGGTGGCGGCGGCGGCGGTGGTGAAGTTGGAGGCGGTGGAGGAGGTGGTGGCAGCGGCAGTGGCACTTGCCCCCGTCCTTCTCCCGAAACTTTACGGGTAAGTGCGAATAAAATAAATCCTTCAGCCGCAAACGGCTTAACATTGAGCTCCGATCTTTCCGTTGCAGTGCCTCCGGGAATGGGCCTGTCAGTACGTCATCCGCCTGGATCTACGGTAAGTGTCAGCTTCCGGCTCGCTTCTTTTGGATACTCTTACCCAGTTATATATATTATGTATATATTTGCCTTGACAGCTGCCTGCTCACTTTAAATGGTAACCCATTGCTGGGCAATCTCATTTCCATACCGGGTATCACCGGCGGTGGCAGTTCCAGTGGCGGTGGTGGCATCTTGGGTAATCTGCTGGGCCGCTAAAATTGGACCCGAAGCTGGCGAAAATGTGTGCACATTAAATCCAATAAAAAAGGGCTCACACACTGTGAAAACAATTATTCCAGATATGATTTTGAGCAGAAAGCTTAAACTTTAAAACTTTAAATATTTCTTTATTATTTATGGTATTCACTTTTAAAAAAGATTGAAAGTTAATATTTTTTTTAAAAGAGCTTTGTAGTAAAAGTAAGACATTGAAACGCTAAAGTGTATTTTAATGATAAAAATTATTTAAGACGAGATAAAGAGTGTGCTTAAAGTAAATCATGTTCTTGTCCCAATAAAGAGTCCTGTCTGATTTTATTTTTGAAGCCATTGGATCTACCCTTAATTACAGGTGACGGCATTTTTCCCCCAGTGCACAAGTGTCATTGGAATTGGATGGAATCGAATTTCGGTCGATGGGGGGTGGCTGGGATGAGGACATTGTGACACCCAGATTGGAATTGCTGCTCCTGTTAATGGGCAACCAATAATCCTTAGTATTGGAATTGGTGTAAAAATGGCGATAATCGCCGGCATAACCGTTAACTTGATTATTGTTTAAGTGGCACGCAATTAAGCCGGGCAATTCTCAAATTAGCCTGGATGGCTTCGGCCATCTCTATGTTTTTTCATCTTCTATGTCCGCAATTGAACTCTGGCCTTTAACTCCGGCAATGGCAATGGTGGGTCAGGTAGGGGCTGGCTGGGAGGCTAGCAGGTTGGGCTGGGACTTTAAAGTATTGGCAGCTAGCGTGCAGCTTGCGGAGAAGCTTGTGCTTGTGCGAATAAAGTCGCAAATCATTGAAGCATATGCAATTATTCATTTTGAGGTTGAATGCGCTCGAACGCACACAATGATACAAGAACACGGACCTGGCAGCCTTTACGTTTGAACGTCCATACATATATATATATCTGTATATATATGGTACATGTCCATATACATACATATATCTCGGTGCGAGTGCAGTCGGAGCTAAAGGAAATTTAAATTCAGGAGCAGTTCCTTAAACGAGGATGCTCCATAAAATTCGCTTTTACTACGCATAGTTTTCATCGCATTTGTTTTCATTTTTTGTGGCATTTGTTTTTCTTACCCTCTGTGGCAGCTTTTTTTTTGGCCGTTGTGCCCTCTGTTTGCCTTGCTTTTAATGCCCTCTTGATTGCAGCCTCGTTGGGGTCCCATTTTGGGGGCAGAAGACAGATATGTAACCCCAACACCACCCACTGGCCGGGACACTCCATCTTGGTTAATCCATCACTTGCATCCACAGCTCAATAGTCTGGGACCTTCCAATTTCCTTTGCCCTTTTATAATTAACTTTATGTGTATGTATTTAGTTTTATTGCTCGTTAGACAGCCTGGCTCAGAGACAATGAAACAACAATTTGTGATCGCCCCCAATCGCCGCCCCCAGTCTCGCCAGAATATCCTGCGGTGGCCTTTCGCCCAACGTGTGTAGGCCATTTTGGAATTTTACTTTGCCATCGTCATTGGCGCACAGCCGTTGCCATTATATTAATTACAAACGTTTGCGCCGCCACAGCTTCCAGCTTCCTGAAAGAGCCAAGAGCCAAGAGCCCCTCCAGCCCCCTCGAGTCCTGTCTGTGCCTGGTTTTCGTCCTGTTTTTTGGGGTCCACTCCCTAATGGGCACAACAAGTAAATCACACACAAAGCTCTAAGGCGATTTCAGCGACGCAATCGAGGAGACGAAACCGAAAGGACCAAATAATTTCCATTGAATGTGTGAAACTCTGCGCAGCTCTTAACGAGCTCTGGTTGGGTCTTTGGCTCTGGCTCAAGCTCTGGCTGGAGGTCCTGCTCCGGGGTCCTGGCCTCCGTCTCAGAAATTCATTTAAGCGCGCCAGACACGCGTCCTTTCCGGCTAGTGACGAAAGCTGGAGTGGCAAGTGGGGTGTGGTCTTTAACGACTTCATTTTCAGTGAAACTATTTGGCACTTTGACATTGCATCTTTAAGATAATTAAAAACAATAGAATAAAGTTAAAAATGAGTTGGGGGATGGAAGATATTGGAAATTTTACTGTAATTGGAAAAGATTATTGTTTTCTTACATCTTTTGTTTTCAAAACATAAGCCAGATTTCTTTTAGACTTCCATAAATCAAAATATAAATTTTCATATTTTTAAACACTTTTTTTTATTTACAAACTCTTGTTTGTAAAGCTTTAAATTCAAAAGTAGCTTATCTTAAATCAACATTTTCACTTACCTTGAAATCCATCACTTTGAATAAAACCAGTTTCACATCCACTCACAAGTTCAAAACAAACACTACTCACTCTGGCCGAAATTTGTTTTCTTAACATTTATATTTATTTTGTGTTTAAATATTTTTACATCTCTTTGTCGATTTCGTCACTGCCCATCGGGCAAGGGCCACTCCTTCAGATGGGATTAACTTTGTAAACTAAGGGAGTTTCCATTTAGCCTTTATTCCTCCTTCGTCGTGCCTTTGATGGCATCAAAGCTGGCAATATCCGATTCCGTCGAAGTGGGAGGCGCAGATGTGGAGGAGGATGTGGTGGTCCCCAGAGTTGTCACTTCCTCGGGTTGTTGGGTGACCAGGTTCTGAATAAAGGGTTTTTTAAGCTCATCTCCATAAAGGATTAGGGGCTGGTTTTTTTTAAAGCGAAATTACCTCAACGTCCAGCGACTTGGACTCGCCCTCCTTGAAGGCCTCGGCCAGGCCTGGATGGATTTCGCTCAGGGGCTCATCCCCGTGACGGATATAGACGGGAACGTGACCTTTGCGGGGCTCCAGCTCCTGGTAGGGTGCCGCTGGGGAAAATTTAATTACAGTCCATTAAATTATGTCGCCGTGGTTGTTTCTGTTTCTGTTTCTGCTGCTTATCACTCCGGTAATCTGCCGCGCGCCTTGGCTATGACATACACCCGGAAGCCTTGAATCACGGCAAAGCGTAATTATGACTAACGAGCCGAGTGGCCAAAAGCAAAAGCAAACTGCAAACACAAACACTCGCCACACGACTCGCCACGGCCCCCTTTGCGTACTACGCCCCTGAATCTTTAGTTCTGGCGCTCGAAAACCTGTTTCTCAGCTCTCATCCCAAAACAATAGATGCGAATATTTTACAGCAGATGTGCCATAAATTCGAAACATTTAACGCTCGTTAAAAAATATAAATCGCATTCTAGTTACCACTAAGTACGTCTTGGCCGTAATCTTACCCTCGATAGCCAGCAGACCCAGAAGCACCAGGAAAGCTATGTTCATCAGGCAGAGACTGATCTTGACCATGGTCTTCGGATTTCGTTAGTTTCTTCCGGCTGTTCTTTCTTCAAACTGCGATCAACGCGACTCCAGACTCGAGACTCAGGCTAGATCGTCCAAAAGCGAAGCTTAAATCCGACTCAATGTGGGGAAACTTTTGCCGGGCCAATTACTCATGGATAGCAGCATCAGTACACTTGGAGAAACCATACCCTGATTGGTTTTTGATTTAAGCTTTGGGGTTTGCAATTAAAAGATATTTATTTCAAATTTTCAGGATTTTGTGACTGTAGTTTAAGTAATTCATGGCGTTGTATTAATTACCATTTCAAGTGTTTAATTTTTAAGCCCAGCTGGCAAACTCATTAAATATGCACTAAGAAAAATGGATAAAAATATATGGTTAGTGGGGGGATGTATAATATTTTTAATTTGGTAGATTATATTATGATGTAGTGCATAGACTTCTTTAGAAGTCTATTATCTTGTGGCATTGAGGCCTTGTTCTTCCATTGATGAGCTCCTTTTTTACCATCCTCCAGGCAATTAAAATTAAATATTTTTCCTCAGTGCAGCCGCAACAACAGCGAAATGATGATGGCTCTGATGATGGCTGGTAATGAAGCTGTCGGCGAACTTTTCGAGCTGTGGCAGGGAATAAAAAGCTTTGGGGCTGTAAGGCAATTGCCGGAGTTTCTCTTATTTTGGTTGGGGGGGCGGGCAGAGGCAGGGTCTTGGTGGGGGAGTTCTAAACCCAGCATTTAGTGGCCTGTGGCGCTGCCACTTCTATCGCTCTCCGTGTTCTTCAAATTCAAACATTCCTCTTTTTTCTTGTTTCAAATTAATTGGGTCGTTAGAGAAGCCATTTGCGCGGGGTTCGTCTTTTTTGCGCCCTTCTAGTTATTTTCATTTTTTTTTCTGTATTTTTTCCTCCGCACACACTCTTTGAATTGTTTGCCCACTTTCGTTTTTGTTGAGTATTCAAATCGAGAAATTGCTGACATCTGTGGATGAATGCCGCGGGTGGGTGGCACCAAAAAAAAGAAACAGCGGCAGGAGTAAAGGTCGAACTGCACCGGAGAACGTCGGCCGGAATACGGATACGGAATACAAGTACTCGTATCTATCTGCCTGCGATTACGTTTTTCAATGCAAGTGAAGAGGATTGACAGGATACGGCCGGGATGGGAGGTGAGTGGTGTGTGTGGATAGGAGGAGGCCTGAACTTGTTTGCCCGCCTCAATTGTTCCGCGTCCTTGATACAATTTCATTCTGATTTCGGTATTTCACATGCTCTGCAGCCCCGCCAGTCCCCGTCTGCAGACTCGAATCAAATTGTTGAGCAAATATTCAACAGAGTAAATATGTTTATGCCGAATCAAGCAATTTCATTTAAACACACTCCACATGCGAGCACTTGTCTGAGAATGTGAATGCCTCCGAGTGTGTTCGACCTCTTCCCTTCACATTTCCATACAATGTATTGTGTAAGCCCACGTCAGCTTGTTGACTAAGCTTTCTCCCAGCACCACCCACCACCCAGCACCCACGCCACCCCCATCAGGTGCACCACCAGGTACTCCTCTTCGCATCGCAATTGATTTAAATCGGCGATGCATAGTTTATTAGTTGCGGAGTAATTTGCCCTCGGAACAAAGGCGACTTTGCAGTCCACACTGCCCCCCTGAAGTGCAATTAAAGTTGTTTTTAATTCCAATGGCCATTCAATTAACAACCAGGGAATCAATTCCCTGTGGGGTTTAGTAATTAATTCGTGTTTACAAACCTTAAAGCTCACTGAGAGAATGTTTGGTTTAAATAATCAAATATCCTATATAATTAGGAACACTTACCCTCCAAAAAACCATACAAAATCACAAAACACCTTTGAGAACTTCTTTTTTAGTTGTTTATTTAATATTTTTTATGTATGTTATTTCCGAGGTTCTAGAAATAGTTACATGGCTGCACTAGTGTCTGGGTGTAGCTTTATAACTATGTATCTACATTTTATAATCCACCGCCTCATCGTGTCATACTCTTCTGGGTGCTTATGTTTCTTGTCTTTCTGCTGTTTGTATTCTAAGTGTACCTCCATATTGGATTCTTCTGTGTGATTCTTCTGGCTTTCTTTCTTTCTGGCTACTCTCGCGTAGATTAATTTAAGAATGGATTAGCTTTCTTTGGGATATAATAGGTTATATTCTCTACATATTTGCCATAAAATCGCATGAGTATGTCTGTAGTTGTCGGTTAGTGTGAGTCTAAGAGCGTGTGGAGGGTATTTTACAGCTATAGGTAATAGGTATATCTCGGATCATCTAGTTGTGTCTATTAAACTCCTACGAAAGCTGAAACTATCTTTGAACATTCTCTAACTAAAAGTAGAACAAACGAACGAACGAATCTCTAAGCTTTATTCTTGTTTTTTGTTTCTTTTTTTGAAAACGAAAAACCGTGAAAATTCTCCATTTTTTTGGGGCAACGCCTTAAAATCGCTGCCACCCATCGGGAGTGGGCGTGGCATTGAGTGAGTGTGTGTTGGTGTGAATTGTGTGTTCCGCATGCATACATATGTATTCTATCTTCTATATAATCGTTAGCTATATATTCCTGTGCGGCAGGACGAACAAGGACCTGCCGACATGTGGTCATTGAGTATATTACTTGAATTGATCTTGATCTTGAGTTACTTGAGGGTTCTGAGGATTCCTATCGTCTGCTTTGGAAAAAATTGAGTTTCAATTCGATTCGATTCGGTTTATGGTGTATATACGGTATTTATGTTTATGGTTCGCTGTAAGCATTTATATAAATAAGTTAAATATGTATACTTATATACGTGGTTGCATATATGCCGGTATGTATGTATATATATTTTAATGAAGTATACAATATATTGCAATTTTAAATGTATATAACTGTTCAAGTCTTTTTGCATCTCTAATATATGAATATATAAATTAATATCTTTACGTTATTCATCATTCATTTTATAAAATATCTCTTCCTTCGATTTAGCCCATCATTATTGTATATAATAATCAAAATTGAATTGGTGTCTTTTTTCATTTTGAAAACATAGACGCTTCCATGGAATTTTGTGTGTGTGTGCCAGTCGTTTTTCAAACATTTTCTAAAGTGTAAAAATAAAGCTTTAAACATTAATTACAATTTCAATTTTTCAGTGCTGAAAAACATTAGAATCATTTCAAAAACATATAGTTGTATTAAAATAATGGAATTACTTAGAAATAATATTTTAAACCGAAAACCGACTGGGTGTTAGCTTGTTTTGGGATCTAATTAATATATGCAGGTTTTAGCAGGGAACTAGAATTGTATTTTTGGGATTAATTAGCCGCGTGTATAAAAACAAGAGTTTTGTGTAAAAATATTTTTTTTTAGAATCTTTTCTTTTTCAAAAAGGTTTTTTTTTGTAATTTTTGTCATTTTGTTTCACGTTTTTTTTGCTTTTTGTGGTGTATAATGTGTATAAATAAATCTTACTCGTAAATAAATCAATTAATCGCTCGCCTCAATATATAATCTATTTATATTCGTAATTATTTCATATATATTTTGAATGTAAAATTGCAAATCACATAATTGTTACCACTACTGTTCAATGGAATTTCTTATATAAGTTTTTTTTTGCTTTTTCGGTTTGCTTTTTTGTTGTTGGTTTTGCTTATGTGTATATAGGCATTTAATGCTATTTAAAACGCTATTAATAATCATCAATAAAGCCATGCATAAACACGATTTCATACTATGGCCCTATAAACAATGCACATAGCACTCTCTGGTCTAAATTCTAACTTCCCCGATATTCTGTTGCTATATCGAACGCGACAATCGGCCGTGATTCCTATAATCTCGCTATATAAAATTGTGGGCTTACAAGTGTGAGTGCCAGTTTTTTTTTGTTTTTAAATTAATATTTTGTTTTTTTTTTTGGGATTTATAATTAATGGTTTCTTGCTCGTTGTATAATTAAGTTCGAATGGTTTTCAATATTTTGTTGTTACTTGCATTTACTATTATTAATTTCGATATAAAACTGCCTCTTTTAAATATACTTTTGGTAATATATGTGTATATATATGCTTTAAAAAATAACCTCTATCAGCGTCCGCCTCCCGTTCCATCAATTCTTAAATTATGAAATAATTGTAATTGACAATATATAATTAAATTGTTTTCAAGTTTACTCCTTTGGGTTTTCTCGGCTTGCCATTTTGCTTTAAGTTACTCGGTTTACGGAATAAAAACTACGCATAAAATAAATACATGTTTGTGTATATATCAATACTTCTCGATTTTTAGAATTACAAATTTTTACCATTATTTATATAGTAATGTTATGTTTAATTTTTGTTCGTTAAAAACTATGTCACTTAAGTTTGGAATTGCTTTTAGTTATCATTTGTTTTACAAGTGCGTCCTCTCGTCCTCTACATCTACAATCAACCTTGGTTTTTCGATTTTCTTCCTCGGGGAGTATTCCTTATGAATGTGGGGTTTTTAAGAAACCTTTGGCTGGGCCAAAGCTCGAGGGATATTGCGGGGGATTGTGGGATTTGGGGTGCGGGAATGGGTTTCTGTATAAAATGGTTTAATTTTTGATTTATGTACACGAGTCCTGGGGTCTAATGCTAGTAATAAAATAACTATCCGTAAGTACCTTTGTTGCGGTGTGTGAGAATGTCTTAAGGGGGTCTGATGCACCGCCTAATGCTTGCTTTGTAATTTTCAATTTATAAATATTTCATATTCGAATGTATTTCTTTTTATTATTTATGTTAAGTATTGTCCTTGTGATATGTTTCTAAATTGTTTTCATTCATTAATTTTATTCATTTCTAAGTAATTGAAGTAGTTGTCTGTTTATCGAGTTTAGAGCATAATATGGAAGTAATCTCGTCCTAAACTGGTTAGAGTTGTAAAGTTGTTTCATTAAAATTGTTCGACTTGGAGTATATATCATCCGATCTGATCTGATTTCCGATTGCTACTTGTCCACTTGAGTACGGTTAAAAAGAGTCTAAGAGCAAGAGATACATTATATAATATTGTTGTAGTTTTAGTTGAGGAGTTGCAGGAAGTGCGACGATAAGTTCACTATTTGATTAGTTTTTGCTAAGATTGAACCCCGAGCCCTATTCGCCGATCGAACTGGACACATGTACTCTACATATATCCAGGGGCTAGTGTGTGTGTTTCCGGTGTGTGTCCTTGGGAGGGGTGTATATAAACTCTAGAGCCCTAAAACGACGCCTAAAAGTAGATATTTTTACCAAAAAACATGCAAATTGGTTCTGCTCGCTAGGTATTATTCTTCATATAGGTCGTATGTATACATATATATTTTTTTTGCCTTTCCCTCCGTCCCTTCCTCATCTGTATATAATGCTTATTTGATCTGTGTATATATATATATATATATAGAATTTCTACTTATGTTCCATAATATTCGTTGTGTCGGATTTTTACTATAAGTTACGTTTTGGATTTCCTTCTCAAACCTTTTGTTTTCTTTGTTCGCCTTCATTCCTCCTCATTCCTCAATTGATTTTTGAATTTTTCAGATTCTAGGTTTAGCTTTTGGTTTCTGTAAAAGTTGCAACTTGGAGAGACTGGATAGTTCAGATATATTAGTGGGTAGATATATTATGCATATAGGATGTATATAACTGCTTGAAGAAGTTCCTATTCAGAGAGATAGAGAGAGAATTGAGATCCTTTTCTGCTGCATTTCTTCCATTTAATGAACTACTCCGCTAGTAAGCCTTTTCTAGACTAGATTTTAATTTTAAGATTTCATATCTTTCTTTTTTTTTATCATTTTTAAGATTTTGTTTGCTTTGTTTGGTTCTAATTTGATAAGGGTGCTCGAGTATTGCTTTTAGGGTTCTGGTTTAAAGTATTTTGAGACTTGGGGATCATCTGAGGCAGAACTAAGCCCGGGCCTAGGCCACCACAATGTCCTGACTGGTCTCGTCGCTGTCCATCTCTAGGTCGTCCAGCTCGTCCTGCTTGCTGCTGAGGTTGTCGTCCTCCTCCTCCTCCTGATCCCCGTCCAGGCTCTTGGCGTGGCCAACGCCAATGGCCCCGGTGTCGCGCAGGCAGGCCGACTCCAGGTGCTTGTTGAGGTAAGACTTCAGGGCGAAGGTCTTGTTGCAGCGGTGGCACTTGAAGTTCTTGTCCCCCGAATGCGTTTGCATGTGGGCACGGAGATTGGAGCGGTCGGCGAAGGCCTTGCCGCAGTGGACACAGGCGTAGGGCTTCTCGCCGGTGTGGGAGCGGAGGTGGCCCTGCAACAGCCACGGGCGGGAGAACAGCTTGCCGCAGATGTCGCAGCTGTGCGAGAGCTTGTGCGTCAGCAGGTGCATGGCCAGGGCCGGCATGGACACGTAGGCCTTGCCGCAGGTATTGCACTTCTTGGCGGACTGCGAGTCCAGGGAGCGATGGGTCTGCTTGTGGCGCGACAGGTTTGAGGAGGTGGCATACTGCTTGCCACACTCGCAGCACTTGTAGCAGCCGCGCTTCCTCTTGGCATAGTTTTCTCCGTTTCCCGAGGACGCATTGCCGCCACCCACGGGGGCAGAGTCTTGGGCCGCGACCACCGGCGTGGCCGCCACACTCTTGGGCTGCTCCTGGCTTTTGGCCTTGCTCGCCTTGGTCCGGCCGTCGAGCATGTTGAGGCACATCTTCTGGGTCGAGGTCCTCGGCGGCAGCTGCTGCTGAGTGGCGGCCACCTTGCCGCCCCAGTTGGGTATCCCCGATTCCGAGGAGGAAGACATGTCGATGTCCACGTCGGAGCTGTGGTCCGAGTTGGGCGGCGTCAGAGGCGAGCACTGGTTGGCAGAGGATACCGGGTCCCCGGGTCCGTTCATCAGGTCGTAGGAACTGCTGCCAATGAACCGAATCGTTGACTGCGGCGACCGACGACTGGAAGCGCTGCTGTTATTGCTGTGGCTGCTGTTCGATATCTCCTGGATCTCCGGGCTGCGCAGCTGCTGCTCCTGTTCCTGCTTCATGATCGTGACCACGCAGGGTGGGATCAGCGGGGGCAGGCTCTGCGAGAGGGACAGAAGATCGTGGGCGGCCTCCGTCTCCTCGACGCTGCGGCCCCGGTAAATTGAGGCTGCAACCACGTGTTGCTCCTTCGCAGCCCGCTCTCGTTCCCGCTTTAAGGTCACCGGCTCCGGTTGGCGCGGCAAGCCGCTGGCACTCGCCGGAGGGGCGTAGAATATGACCTTGCCATCCTCTGCTGGAGCTCGGCCCATTGGACGGCGCAGTGACACTGTATAGGCACACAATTGGAAATCGGAATTAGCATTAGCACTAGTGACCTACCATCTCACAAATGAGGTTAGTATTGAACTGACAGTCGAGGGGCTGGTTAGCACAGGAGTCCGTATAGTCTTGGATATCACAGGGGCTTTTCAGGCTCATTTTTCTTACGGCAAATGGCTTGCGCCGGGGACTTGACAAAGATTTGACAAGTGTCACTCGAACTTGTTGAGTTTCCCCGCAGCCTAGAGACGGGGCCAATTTATCGGCCTGAGTCTGATGAGCCAATTTATCGGCCCTAACCAGAGCTGGAAAACGCACTCGTAGCTTTTCAGCACTGTACAGCACCGCCATTGGGAAGCTGCATTTCAAAATGAAGTATTTCAAATATGGCAGCCGTTAACTTTCTCCCAATTAAGGATTCGACTTGAAACTTTCAATTCCTGGTGTTTTAATTAACGACTGCCCACCTGTGGACCCAAAAAGCAGAACTAACTTCGTGTAACTTGAAACCTGTGGCTCAGACTCGGACAGGTTTATTGAAATTGTTTGCCCTGAGAGTTGTAGTTGTGTGTCCTTTAAGGACGTATAGCAGCCATTCACCTGGGTGGGAGGGTGCGTGTGCCAAGTGCAAGTCATAATCTGGGTGGTTACCAAGGAATCAAGGAAGCAGTAACCATAACTGCACATTTTGACATTTTATGGCCCGCTGACGCAATATCCTTGCTGCTGACCTGTTACGTTCTCGGTGCTCAGTTTCTCAATCGATACGACGACCCCCTGGGCGCCCGCCAGCCACCCTCTGCCAGTGGCAGTCAATGCCGCTTGTTTGCATTTGCTTTCTCCACTGCTTTTTCTGCTGCTTTTTTTCTGCTTTCTTCAAGAGCAACAAGCAACGACATCGACAAGGAGGCAAACGCAAACATGGAAAATGCCAACATACGCTAAAAAGATTAGCTAACGGCGACAATGTCAAACACGAGCGCTCACTCTGGAGTGTCAGAGGGGCATGGACTGGGGCTGGTGCTGGGGCTGGGGGATTAGGGGACAACAACAGGGGGTCAGGGGTCAGGCCAAACGAAGGACGGTGGCCAAGTGGGTGGCCATAAAATGGTTGAAAGTGCCGCTGGCTTTGCAGTGAGTGGCGCTGGAGTGGAGTGTGGGTCGGAAGCCTGGCTACTAAAAATAAATACGAGTACACAAATCGTCGCAGCCACCTGTTCACATTGTTGTGACGCAACTTTTGCGGGGGCTTTCATTATTTGGGGGCAGGGGGTCGATTGCTGGAGCTCACAACAAATGGAACAATGGCTATACCTTGAGGGAAATAGCTTTCAAAAGGGTACAAGTGTTACCCCAAAAGATTCTATAAAAAGTGTTTCCAAATATATTTCAGTTGGAATATTATTGAGGGCCTTACATTAAGACTTACCTGAGGCTGCCGCGGGTCCTGCCACTGAGGCAGTGTGGCTCGATGCCGAGGCTCCCGCTCGCCGCTGCTTCTCCTGCTTGGAGGAGTTCATCTGGACCAACGACTGGGCGGCAGACCACTCCAAATGCTCACACAGCTCCTCCTCCTCCGCATCCTCGTCGTCCTCCAGCTCGATTACCTCCCGTTTGAGCACAGACCGAGAGTTGCGCTTGGCCAGGGATTTCAGGGGCAGTTTGTGGGCCACCTGGTTGCCATTTCCGTTGGCGTTTCTCAGCACCGAGCTGGCTGCGACTGACGAAGGCTTATCCTCCGGCTTTCGGGTGCCGGAGGTCCTTGGCTTCGGACGCCGCCAGCTCTGCAGGTCAGCAGCTCCGGGCGCTGGGCCTGCTCCGGATCCTGCCGGCGATCCCGCAGCCACATACTTTTTGCTGGCACTCGCATAGGCAATCGTTTGGATCTTGTTGCGATTGGGCAGTATGAAGTCCACGGACATGTTGCACGATTTAACGGGTCACCGTTGCCCTTGCCGCTCGCCACAGATGCCAGTTGCCAGCTTGAAGCTTCCGGCAATCACAATTCCGGGGGATCCCCCGCTGGTTGTTTGTCCTGGTTGGGCGGGGGTCTCGGTTAGCTATTTGTGTGGCTTTTGGGGTTGGTTTTGTTTTTGGTTTCGGTGTTGGTTTCGGGATTCTTAAGCTTAGATATATATTTTGTTTTTTTTTTTTTTATTATTTGCTATGTAGATGTAGCACAACCTTCTTTGACGTCTGCAGTTTAAAATGCTTTAGCTTTAGCTTTGTCCCCGTTTTTTTTTGGCCGAACCGAGTCGTAGTTTTGGCCCTTTTCTCTACTTCGACTTCAACTTTGACATTGACATGAGTTGCCTCGAGAGTTTCGCTGCGGTTGCTCCTTCAGCTTTGATTCCTTTGCCCCAGTAGTCCTGCTGTTGGTGCTGTTGTTGCTTTGGCCTTTGGCTCGCCGGATGGCTGGCATCCTCCTGCCCCCGCTGCAGCTCCCCCTTGGCGGATCCCCCTACCACATCCGCTATAGCGATGGCCAAAGATTCACTTTGCCACAATTCTGAAGGTATCTGGCGTTCGTTGTTGCGTTGCTAGTTGCAGGTTGCTAGTTGCTGGTTGCTGGTTAATGGTTGCTGGTTGCTAGTTGCAATTCTGCTTGGCTTTGCCGTTACCGTTAGCAATCAAGGTCCTGTTCTGGAAGCGAAAGCAAAGGTAAATTAAATTGATGTTGTTTACCGGTAAGACACTGAGGAGTCTGGACAAAGAACCTGTCACATTTGCATGCAAATGCTCGGCGAAGCCATCGCAAAGGCCAAAGGACAAAGGACAACATGCGTCTTATTAAAACCGAGAACCCTTGTCTAGGGTGAGACTTTGGAGTGTTTGTGTTTGCTTGTTTAATACCCAAACTTCAGCTTCTTTTGCCTTTTCCCCTTTGGAAATCTTTTCTAAATATTTAACAAGACATCATGACAGATAATAAATCACAAAGGGGTTTTATTTGCCATCTTCATTTTAAACATGGTTGGTTTTAATATTTTTAAGATTGTTTTAAACATTGTTCAAAATATGATATATAATAACAATATAATAAAAAATATTAACAATATGAAGAAAACTTATCCCTGAAAGCAAGTCCTTTTATTAAACCCCTTGCTGGAACACCAAAAGTGAGTACGTGATAACCCCTGTACTATACCATGGAGTTCTTTTCCCCATAAATTACGGGTAAATACTCTATGGCAACCATTAACCGTTCGGGGCGCCACTCGCAGTGCCCGGCCACTTTCCAAAAGAATCTACTAAAATTGCATAATTTAAATGGCGATTAAAGGGCGAAAACTGTAAACAAGTTCCTGCAGTGGTTGCCAGTCATAATATTTACATTATAAATGCAGAAACCGCCGTGCAATCAGCGAAAGAGACAGGACATCGCCTGCAGGGGGCGCGTGGGGCAGGGGCTGGTTGATGGAGGGTGGTGTTGAGAAGAAATTTGCAACACTTGATTACACTTAATTGATAAATTGTTATACTTTTTGCACTAAATTGCACGGTTTATACACGGTCGGGCAGTTCATTTTCCGCACTAGGAAAACCGACAGAGAGTGAGAGAGAGAGAGAGCAGGCGGGTGTGGGGAAAAGGCTTCCATTGGAAGGTGGCGCACACGCACGCACACAAAACTATCTATCCCTATCCCACGTTTAAAAATGGCGCATACACTCGCTGCCATTGTTTAGGAAATGCACTGGCCGAGATTGTTCTGATTGGAATTGCACGTTTGAGAACCATTACCTCGTAGACTGAAAAGGAGGTTTATCACATGATTTGTTGTAGGGAATTTTGAATTTATTGGTGATTTTTGGAGTGAAATTCCGTTTTTCCGTTCGTTGTTTCAGCAACAACAACTTGTTCACTCTGCACTTGTCGAATGTTTTGTGAATTGAAATCCACTGAGAGAGAGTGAGAGAGAGTAGAAAGTGGGGAGAGAAAGCGCACTCGCTGCTCGGGATATCCGGAGAGCAAGAAAGCAAAGTAGCGAGTACATGCAACAAATAGTCAACTGTTGGTTGCCTTAGCCTACCTCACTGTACCACCCACCTCCCACCTCCCACCGCATCTCGCACTCGCACTCTCTCTCGCTCTCTGTTTCCTTTCTCTCGCTTTCTCTGCACATAAACAATGCGAGATTTTTATTGCATACTTTGCAGCTGCAACCTTATACACACACACAGCACTTTGTCACATGCAACACGAAATCGGAAATGAAATCATGCATAAATCTATGGATAAAAGGTTATTAAATCTATACACTCTAGGGGTACATTTTCAGAGGACATGCAGGGTATTACGACCGGACTATATACTGGTCTCTACGGTGCTACTACTTGTATATAGGAAGAAACTCGCCGTACTCGCTCTGATTTGTGGGGCCTGCGGAAAGGTGTTGTATTTTTTTGCACACACACGGATTTCGACGTTTTCTTTACCACCGATTCATGGATTTCGTTTTCAATTTGCACTTTTTTGATTCGGAATTTTCGAAATTCTTTGTTGCTTCTCTTGGACTTAGTTTTATGAGTATTTTACAGTTTTTATTATTTTATTGCGTGGCGTGTGCGGTGTTAAACTATGGACTTGTGTTTTTGGCCTGCCGCTGTGCGTCAGTTTTTGACGTACCACTCCCTTCTACTGTGCGCTTCGCATTCGCAGCTTTTCGCTGGCTCTGCCGCTCACTTTGGTGGCTATATCCACACTCACACACACACGACTATATCCATATACGTATATATAATTTACAGCGAGTGTGCGTGATTTCGGGTCAACACCGACGCACCACTTTTGGGCAGTGGCACGGGGTGGTTTGTTGCCTGGAAACTTTGTTGTGGGGCCGAGGGGCGCCTCCCCTATCGTTTTATATGCGGCACTGATAGTTTCTATGGCCCATAGTTAGCGAACTATAATTTCCCTGATTTATGGCCAGCGAGATCGATATATACCGCCGAGGCCCCACACAAAGACACAACAAGTAGCCAGCCAGGACCACCCTCCCCACCCACTCTTGCTCTCGCGGGTGGCAGAAGACACATGCAACAACCCCAGGAGAATCTGCGCAGACGCAGGCTCGGCCAGTTGCTCTCAAAAAACTGCCGAAACTTCCAGCGAGTCACCCACACACTGACAGAGGGCAGATCCTGGCACGGACTCGTGCCACACACACTTGTGGATTGCCGAAAATTATGCAACAGCACCGCATTGAGGGAGGGTGGTGTCACGGGGGGTGGCGCGCGGCACACGGATCCAGCAAGAGGCCGCCGCTCGAAAGCCGGGGGTGTGTTTTGATGTCTGCCACTTGGCTGCCTTGGCACGGCGCTGGGTTAAAAATACCAAACAAAAAAACAAAATAATAAAAAAAAACAGAAACCTGCAAAATCCAAAAGCAGGAGATCCCAGGGAAGGGCAAAAAAAGATTCTGGCCCAGCTTAGAAATAAATTATGAGCTGCTCCAGCTGTAAGCGTTTAATTTGGTATTGTTTTCATTCTTCGGTTTGGCCTTTATGGTTTCCCCGCCTTTTCCTTTTTTTGACCAAATATTTTGGGCATTTCTCTTTTGCATAGTTGACAACTGAAACTTGCTCCTTGCCTTGTCCTTTTTAACGTTTTGAGGTTTTGGGTTTATTTCGTTACGTTTCGTTTGGTTTGGTTTGGTTTGCTTCTGTTTGCACAGGCCGAATCGAAAAGGGGCCGCAGGACATGGGACACGGGACACAGGACAGGACACAGGGCACACAGAGCCCAGCCGCAAGGACTCCATGGCCCGTGGCCCATTATTGCCCCCCTCGGCGATACCAAAAAGGAGCCACTCCACCCCACTCCACCCTCCCTTGGTCCCTTGTGGTTGCTTTTTTTTCTGCGGCAGTGGTGGTGTATTGGCGGTGGTGCTGTTGCCGCTTCTGCTGCTGCTGCGTTGACATCAGCGCTTCCGTTGCGGGCTTCCTTATTATTCCTGTCACTAAGCCGCCCTTTAAATTCGCAATGAATGCCAAACAGCGAAACAGTTAAATATTTTTTTGTCCCCCTGCCTTCGTTTTGGCCTTTTTGTTGTATTTGGTCTTGTTTTGTTTCGGTTTCGGTCCCAGACCGTTGTTGTTCGAGCCACGGAAGTGCAACACCATCCAACCATCCAACCATCCAGGCCAGCCAGCAGACCGACCCCGAGCAGACCGGAACAGGATGCACCCGGAGAAAATATTGTTCGGCCGGATTATTGCACAATTTATTTTTTAAATCCACATACAGAGTTTTGTGGGAAAACTGCAAAATACATCGCTGTATCTTTCTTTCACTGAAAGGATTTTTGGGAAGGATTTCTTATCAGAAATTGTTATAATTTTAAATTAAATATTAAATTAATAGTTTAAAGACTATAAACACCGATGATCTTGAGACAATTTAATTGTAACTTCTTCAATAGCTTGTGATTTTTTTAAAAGTGTCCTTGTTTTTGGGGTCCTGGCACTGCCACTGGGATTGGAAACGGGAAACAACCGCAAGGTTGCCCCGGCCAAAGGGTTGCTGCTTGTGCTTCTGCTTCTGTTGCTTTTGCCATTGAGTTGGCACTGATATTGTGATGTCCTGATGTCTCCATGTCCTGCCGCGCTTCATCGTCATCATCGTCATCGTCATCGTCGGTCGCCTTCGCGGTTACATTGACCCTTTTTCCATGGACTCTTTTGTGTTGCCGCTCCATAGGCTTTCTTGCCGTCAACGCTAATGGAGCTTAAAAAGTTGTCAAAGCGGCGCGGGTTTTATATTTTAATTTCAAAGTGCCAAAATAGAAAATGAAATGGAGCAGGAAGCAGAAAGCAGGATGCGGAATGCGGGATGCGGAAGGGTTTCCATTGGCCCAGGGAACTGGGACCTGAGGAACCAGGAAAGTGCCATCATCAAAAAGGGCTCGGGAATAAGGCATCAAATCAACTGTATTCTGTCATCGAAAATCAGACGCAAAGTGAAGTACAACAAGAACAAAAAAGCAAATAAGGAAATATAAAAATAAAAAAAGGAAAAGGACCGTCTGGCGGCGAGAATATTCATCGTGGGCTGGCGGAGCCCAACTCCTGTTGCCGCATTTATTGCCATATGCTGACAGTGTTGCTCGCGGCGGCCAGTCGGTGGCGATGGGGGCCAATTTGAGCTGTCATAAAAATGTACAACAACTGGCTACAAAGCAAACAATGCGACGAGTGCCAACAGCAACACAAACAGCACCAGCAACAGAGCTGGAAGCGGCAGTGGCAGCAACACCCACACCCACACATACACTCGAACACTCAGTGGCAGCTACGGCAACATCAGCAACAACTATAGCAATGGCCGCATTCAGCAATTGTGCAAACAAATTGCTGTTGCACTTTACTTTTATTTTACGAGTGCGAATGCCAGAGCTTGCTTCTTTCTACGGATACACTGCCCACAAAAATGTCGAGGAAATCGGCCATTAAATGGTTACTTACACATGTCCTTATACATCTGGGTAGAACCCCTTTTCAAAAGCTTTTAGTACGAGGTTCATATATCTTTATTCTCTGATCTACTACAAGGCCTAACAAATAAAGATTGACTTGAAATAACTTATTTTATTTTATAGAGAATCCTTAAAAGTAAGAATTAAAATACCCCTAGTCTACTTTCCTTTAAGACTCTTCTTTTCTTTGTGTACATTTTTTTCTCGTTTCCCGGTTTCGTTGACGGACCAAGGGAGTCCTGAGTCCTGCCAGGGTCCTGTTGGCGTTCTTCTGCTGATTTTTTTCCTTTCTCCGCCCGCTGCCCAATTTGCATTTTACTATCGCTGCAGGTTTTTATAGTTGTTGCTTTTGCATTTGCTCTTACTTTTTGATGCCTCACTCGGGTTCCCCACTCCCAGTGCCCAGTACCCAGTTCCCAGCTCTTCGTTCTGGTTCTGGTTTTATTTGCGGGCCGCAATTTTCCTGCCTCCATCCGGCTCCCACCAGCATCGTCCCGGTGCTCATCCTTCGCTTTTTGTGGAATTCACTGGTCATAAAGTTTACTTAACATGCCGCTGACGCTTTAGTATTTTTTCTCCTGTTAAACTTTGGATTGCAAAAGTCAAGTTCCTTGCCAGATGGAGACATGTACAAATACAAATACTAATACAGGGTCCAGCAAGGACACTATATATGTATATGTGTAAATGTACTTCCAGATAGCCAGACAAATCTCCGACTTTGGACGGCATTTCTAATGCGGTCTGTTATGGTTCGCCATCAATTATATCAATTTCTGGGCGAGAACTTGAAGTAAACAAAACCACTTCAATGGCGGCTACTCAACTTGATTAGTTTGATCAAGAGGTAGCTAGACTCTGGTCAGATTTATTGCCCAGTGCAGCTTTGAAATATTTGTGAAATGCATTTATTTCCAGGTAATGGACTGGCATGGCCATAAATGAGTGTTAAATGAGTCATTTAATATATTTAATGGAGAATAAGGTTGTAAATTAATGAATTTCTTATTAATAAAATAAATTAGGCAGATGATCCATAAAGGAGGTAATAATATTCTTTCAGTTGGATTAAAGTAAACCTTTTAAAATGCCACCCATCAAGTATAAAGTAAGTATATTATTGTTGAAAAATTCAACATGTGGCTGCAATAAATCCATTTGGCATTTTGCAATCGCTTTAATACAGATATATATACTAGTATATATATCTGTATAGTATATATATCTGTATTAAAGCGATTGCAAAATGCCAAATGGATTTATTGCAGCCACATGTTGAATTTTTCAACAATAATATACTTACTTTATACTTGATGGGTGGCATTTTAAAAGGTTTACTTTAATCCAACTGAAAGAATATTATTACCTCCTTTATGGATCATCTGCCTAATTTATTTTATTAATAAGAAATTCATTAATTTACAACCTTATTCTCCATTAAATATATTAAATGACTCATTTAACACTCAAACATTTTATTCTGCAATGAAATTTGAAACATGGCTAATAAAGAAATCATCTTGAAAGAATCGTATTCATACATCTTTATGGGAATCTCTATCACTCGAGTGCTATCCAAAATCAAAAACCAGTCGAAACGAGCTGGCAAAACAGTCGTAATCCATATTCCCTCAAATTCCTTTTTAATACAGCCAGCAAGTTCAGTAAAATATAAACAATTTACAACCATGCCACTTACTGAGGTGAAATTTATTCAAAGTCCCATTCAATCGCGATGCCACTAAGCTTGCTCACACGGTGCTTTGATCCCCTCGCCTTCTATACCTCCTGGGAGGCTGGGGGGCTGCCCCTGGTTTAAAGTAGAATGGGTTTTCCCTTTTTCCGAGCGATTTACGAGTCTGGTCTGGTCCTGCCCCAGGTCCTGCTCCTGTTGTATCCTCCGGTCTCCAGATTCCATCCCTGTGCACTTTCGCAGTAACATTTTACAACATTTGTATTTATTTGGCGTCGTGAGTTTAAGATGTTGTTGATATATGTTGATATGTTGTTATATATGTTTACCGTTGTGTGACACACACACACTCAGCTACACCCAGAAAAAGTGGCAACTGCTGCAGCTACACATAAGTAAATTAGGATTTATGCTTTGTTCTATTTGAGCGCTGCAAAGCCATAAACGATTTTTTATGCACAGCCACTTGCTTTTGAGTTTTTTGCCGACAGGATGGGGGCTTGGGAGCTGGGGGCTGGGG